GGTGTGGGCCAGACCTGGGGCCCCCACATCCCCTGGCCAGGGACGCTCAGAGGGGCAGCCACTGTGCCGGGAACTCAGAGGTGGGCGGAAGAGCAGTTGGCGCCAGGAGGCCATGGCGCAGCCTCCACCCCCAGACCCCTAACAGTGGGCCAGTGTGTGGGCTGGGTGGGGTGGGGGCCCAGCGGGGTCGGGTCCCGCTCCATAAACCCTGGCCAGCCGGGAAGCTGCAGACATTGCCTGTTGACACAGGGGTGACGTCACCAACAGCCAATGGGGAGCCCGTTGGGGGCTCCGCGTGCGCCTCCCTGCATCCCGTGGGGCCGACAGGCACGCGGCATGATCTGAGTGCCACCTGAATAAACCAGTCCTTCCCAGCATCCCGCGGGGCCGGTTTCCCCCCAGGCCCATCTCCACACCTCCTCTCCCCTCAAGCTCTGGACCCAGCACTGGGGGGGCTGGGCCCTGGGGCTAGGGTCAGCTGGGCCCCGTAACCTGGGCCTGTTCTCCCTCAGGTATGTGGGCCTCAGACTTCTGACCCCCAACCCTTAGCCCCACCGGTCACCCCTACTCCCATGATCCCACATGGATGCTGCGGCTCCCTGTGGTCACACCTGGGTCTTCTCTCTTTCATTTGTCTCTTGGCAGCCTGGAGCCCACAGCCTGTGCTCCCAGAGCTGGCCACCTGCCCCGCTGGGCGCCTTCCCACCAGTGGGAAGCACAGTGGGAGGGGACCAAGTGTGAAGATGTAGCTCACCCAGGAAGGGCCAGGGCTTGGGCAGCCCTGGGTCCCCCTTTCTGTTGGAGCCAGCATGTTCCTAGGCCTCCAAGCCATCTTCTGCCTTCATTTCCCTTCCCCCAGGAACCCGCCAGACCCCACCTGGACCCTCCGTGGCCTAGCAGCCTCTCTTCCCTCCAAGGGCAGCACATGCTGCTGCCCAGGTCCCCCCACGTCTCCCCCGTGCAGCCCCAGCTCTGGGGTCTCCTCTGCAACCTTCCACCCAGGCACAAGTTGCTTCTGCAAAGCGCGGGGCCCGCAGCCTTCCTCCCCTGTGGCCCTGCCAGCTTCTCGCTGGGGTCTGCACAGCGCCCCGTTTTGGGGGCACAGTACCCACAGCTAGTTGTTGTGCCCTGGGGCTTGGCACGTGGTGGCACAGAGGTGTCCTGCGGGGCAGCAGAGGGGGAAGGAGCCTCCTGCACTTGGTTTGTGGGTCTAGCCCCCGCCCTGCACCACTCCCCGTGGACAGGCTGCCTGCCTGTGTCCAGCCAGGTGTGGGGTGATGGAGTGGGGCTCCCCAAGGACAAGGAGCACAGTGTCTGCTTTATTTGCAGGCTGGGCGCTGACAAGGAGCAGAATACCCACAGTGACTGCTTCCAGGAAACGGCTGCGGGCGGGGGGAGCCGCCAGGGAGAGCAGGCCCCTTCCCAGCAAGCCGGCCTGCAGGTGGGCTTCCAGGAAGGGGCCCCCACCAGTTCCCCTCAGCCCTGGAAAGGGGCCAACAGTGTCACCAGGAGCAGGCTGGGGGAGCTATGCACAGAGGGGGGGGGAGGAGAAAATTGAGGAGAGGAGAAGGAGGGGGAGAGGTGGGCAGGACTGGGCTTCACCAGCATGGTTACTACAGCCTTGCAGAGACCAAAGCCGACCACAGTTCTTTCTAGAATGTTCCATTTCCCCTTTGGGGGGGGGGTTTACACAGTCTCTGAGAATGCCCAGTCCCTCAGGGTTTGTCAGGCACCACATGCGCCTGCAATCATGCACATAGAGGCCTGGTCTGCTGCAGAAGGCAAGAGCAGGCTGCAGAGATACTGTGCCCTGAGCCTAGACCCGGCTTTGGGTCGGTACTGACCAGCAGCGGAGCCCTCCTGGCCCTCCTGGCTGGAGAGGGCTGTGGGGGCCTCCAGACTGGATCTACTGCCCCCAGTTCTGAGCACTTGGATGCCCCTCCCCCAGAGAGATTTTTGTCTTCTCAGGCACCGACCTCAGTGTTTGGAGACTTCTCAGGGCGGGCCTGTTGTCATCAGACTCCAAAGGTCCCCTTAGTCCCATTTAAAGGATTCTGTTTCCTTTGCAATGCTGGAATTTTGTCCTCAGTGATATAGTGAGCGATCTGCCCCTGCCCCACACTGCGGTCTATAATTCCTGCCCAGGTCATTGAACGCCTGCAGAGACCTCACCCCACAGGGCCACAGCTGTGGGCACACACGGGACAGAGGACAGGGAGGGGTGCGTGGCCCTGGAGCACAGGGTTAGAGATGCTAACACAGGCAGCGTCTGGCCCGGCAGGCGTGACCCCACTGTGTGAAATGATCCCCCTTCTCTCTGGACAGAAACACCAGCGGGAGGGGGCCAAGTGTGAAGACCCTGCAGCCTACCCTGGGTGCCTATTGGGGTGGGTGTGCAGGGGCCCCCAGGGGCATGTGTAGAGGCTCTCCGGAGCTTGAAACCTCGAAACCTCTTTCCCAAGGTTTTCTGGCACCGCTGCAGCCGCCCCTCCCCACCCACCCCCTGCTGGGGTTTGGGGATGAAATTCAAGCCCCTGTTTGCTTCTCTGCACTCAGCTCAGCCTAGGAGCATTCTGAAAGTGCCTTTGGGTGGCGGGGGCGCCAGGAGCCTGTCTAACAGCCCTCTCTAAGCCCCTTTTCTAAAAAGCAGGAAATCGGTTGGGCCAAAGGTAAACACATTCCAACCTGGCGGTCCCCAGCTCAGATGGAGGGGCTTTGTTGGGGCGGGGGCTGGGCCACCTCTGTTTTCCCAGCCCCCACCCTGGGCGAGGCTTGAGGCTGGACCCCTGCGCACCTGTTTTCAGAGTAACTGTGCCTTGGCCTGTCTGCATCACGAGATCCTGCCCCCATGAGCTCCTTCCTGCTCCCCAGGCCCTGGAGCTCCAGGGGCTCCACTGGATTTTCTCCCAGGTCCAGCTCGAAGCCCGCTGCAGAAGGAGGGACTGTGTGGACAGGCCCAGGTCACCCTGCCCCACCCTCGGCATTCACAGGGGCAGACGCCCACAGCAGGGGTAGTGCGACATTTGGGGGTGCTGAGGGCCAGCGGCTCCCCTGGGTGGGCAAGAAAAGGAGCACTCCACTCTCCCCAAGTCTGCGCAAGCTCTTCCCCCAGCTTTGTCTCAGAACTCCCCGGGGAAAGCCCAGGGAGAGAATGTGCAATTCACAGCCACCCTGAGGGTCCCAAGCCTGGACGCAGCTGGGTTCCAGCGTGGCTGGCTCTCCAGATGACCAGGACACAGCCCATAGCTTCTCGAGGCCCCTTCCCAGTTCCCTTCCATGTCTGGGATTTGATTTCTGTGTCCCTAGAGGAGGCTGCTGGGCTTACATCTCCCTCCCCACCTCCACAGCCTGTGACCCCACTGCCCCCAAAACCCCCCGGGCCACCTGCAGTGCCCACCAGCCATTCTTCAGAAGGCTGGCTTTCATCTTCTGAGCCTAGCTTTGGGAATCTCGAGCAGGTCGGATGTTTACCATAAAGGCCTGTGGAGACCTCCCTCCCCATACGTGATGGATAGCTACTTTGTCACTTGGTCAAGTCACTGCCATGAGGTCAGGAAGGTGGAGGTGGCTTACCCAGCACAGCCGGCTGGCCTTTGAAATCCTCATGGAGATAGACAGCTTCAAGAGACTCTCTCACCCAACTGTGCCCACTGGGTCACCACTGGTCTTAACTAGGGCCTCAGATGGGTGGTGGGGGCAGGGGGTGGCGAGGGGGAGGGTGAGGGGATGTGAGGAGTAGGTGCTGCGGACGTGTCCCTGTCTGCGGGGGGGCCCGTGGGGGAGGGGAGAGCTGCAGCCCCGGGCGGGAGGGAGTTCCTGGTTCTGGGTCTGGTTCTTGTCAATCTGCGGAGGCTCTTTCCTGACTGCGCTGAGCATTGCCCCTGGTGGGAGGAAAACAGGGCCAAAGAGCTCAGTCTCGTTTTCAGGAGCTTCATCTTAGTTCCTAGGGTCTGTACATTCCAACCAGGAGCCAGGAAGCCCGGACTGGGGCTCAGAGGGGTGCTGCCCAGCCTTGGGGTCTCTCACAGGGGGCTCCACTTTCACCCAGGACCAAGACCCCAACCATGGCCCTCTGTCACCCAGACCCCTCTCCGTCCTCCTCTCTTCCCTTGACCTGTCCGCCTCTCTCGTCTCCTTGGATCTCTTTGGTCCCCTCCCCTCTCTGTGGCCATGCTCAGACCTGTGGGTGTCCTGGTCCCCCTGCTGTGGCCTCCAACTCCCTCTCCCAGCAAGTGAGAAGATGGGGTACCTCAGTCTACCCAGGCCCCAGCTCCCAAGCTAGTAGGACCCAGGGCAGAGGAGCCAGGTGGGGCAGGAAGGGGAAGCCCAGAGGCTGCCGTGGACCTGTACGAGTGGCCAGGGCCAGCCCGACTCCCAGAGCTGGTGTCCACCCTTAAATCCGTCCTGCAATGTGGTTCTGCAAACCTGCATTGGCCTTTGGGGTCTGGCCCGGCACCCAGGACAAGATCAGACAGGACCGGGTGGCCTCGGAGAGCTGGAGAGCCGGAGGCACTGGAGTGGGGTCTGACCTCTCCCTCATTGCGCAGGACACCCCTTGCCATCCCAGCCCCCACCACCCCTGGTGTGTACGCTCCTCTGTCCCCCGAGGCCCCCAGTGTCCACAGACCCCGCCTCACCAGGGGACCCTTCTGGATCATAACCCCCTTGGCTTCCCACGAGCCCCTCCCCTTGGTGCTCATTCCATCCCTATGCCCTCCTGGTTTCATTCCATCGCCCCCCACCCCTTCCCATAACTCACTTCCTCAGCCAGTCACCCCATTCCACGGCCCCTCCTCTTCTCATGACCCCTCCCTACCCCACAGCCCCTCCCTATTCCATAATCCTCTTCCAGATGTGTGCCCCATCCTATAACCCCCATCTTTTTCCCCTCCCCACCCCAGAACCCTTATGTCCCTCTTTGCACCTCCCCTCCCTCCCACATCCCCCAGCCCACGGCGCACCCCGAGGCAGACAGCTCAGATTCCAGTCCCTGAGACAAGTCGCTGTAACTGTGTTTATTGATGAGGCCAGGGCTCTGGTGAGCCCTGGTGGGGAGGGGCACTGGGCAAGGTAGGGTAAGGAATGCTTTGAGGTGGCTCGCTCTTGTGGAGCTTCCAGACAAGGTGAGGGGAGGGCGAGGCCTCAAGCACGCGGCCGGCGCCCAGGCGCCCCCAGGCAGAGGTGGACAGCAGGCAGGCGCTGGGGCGGCGTGGCCAAGGAGGCCCGCACACTCACGCACAGGCGCACAGAGAGACTCAAGGCTCTCCCGAGCTCCAAACCAGTGCAAACGACTTAGTGCAAATTGAAATCAGAAGGGACGGGTGGGGAAACAGAGTCACGGATGCTTTGAATCTCTCAAACGACGGAAGGAAGAAAGACAGAAACACAAGGTTGGAGGGAAGGAGGAAGAAGAAAAGCAGAGGGAGGCGTGCCGATGGTCCGCTGGGCGCAGCGGGGTGGCCACGAGGATGGGGCTTGGCTGGCGGCGGGTGCTGCGGGTCTGTTCTGCCTTGGTGTCCACAGGCCTGGTCCTTCAGCTCCACCTGTGGAGGGTGACAACACATGTGGGTGGGGGGGCGGGGTGGGGAGGGGGGTGGGGGTGGGCGGGGCGCTTCCCAGGGGCCCCAAGCTCACCTCCAGAGCCGATTCCTGAGTCAGGTATGCAGTGGTTCCCAAACGCAGCATATTCTTGATCCAGAGCTAGACGGACTTGAAGAAGTCCCCGGAGTTGAAGGCCCAGACATGAGCTGGGTAGCACCATTTCTGCAGTGGAGACGGAATGAGGCCCCCACTCCTGGCCTGCCCCACCCTGCCCATGCGCCACAGGAGGCCCTCACCTTTATATCTTGAGGGTTCTAGGGGGTCCAGAGAGCAGCAGCGGTGTGTTGACTCTTTCGGAAAAGCAAAGGACCAGACCCTTCTGTGGCAGCCTCCCCCGTGGTGCCAGCCAGAGTGTTCTGTAGAGGACAGAGCTGGGCATGAGCAAGAGGGTGTCTGTGAGGGTGGGCTGGGCTGGGCTTTGTAGCGGGCAGAGGGACATTCTCACCACGAAGGCCGGACGGCAGTCCCTCTGTCCTCGCCGTCACACCGGACCATGTCATGTCTTTCCAGTACATCCCTGCGCCTGGCGTCCTGGCCTTCGGGGGCTGGCGTGTGCACCCCTGCTGGAGACCTGTCTTTGGGGAGAACAGAGGGTGCTGGTTGGATAAGGAGGATCTGGTGGGCAGCACGAAAGCAGACTGGGCTGGGCACTTACCCTTGTCTCCAGTCTTGAGCTTGGAGGCACCGATCACTGCTCCGTCGCTGCCCGTGATGCCCGCCTTGGCCACGGGCTCTGGAGGCCAGTGCCTCGTTGGCTCGCCGCCTGGTGGCCCCTCACCTGCCTGCCCCGACTCCCCCCTTAGAGAGCTCACTCGCTCTACCCCGCCCGTCTCGCCTTGTCTGGCCTTGCCCATGCCCTTGGCTCCCCTGGTGCTGTCCTGTCTGCCATGCCAGACCCAGCGGCTGAGCGGTTAGGGCATACAGTGTCACCAAGTCCACTGTGGGCCCTCTCCGCGCCAGCCTCTGGGCCGCAGTGCCGCGTGGGAACGGTGCATCCGCAGGCTGGGCCGGCTGCAGCCTCCTTGCTGCGATATCTCTCCGGAGCCCGCCACCCGCGACCACCGCTCCCCCCAGGTGACGTCCTTCTGTGCTGCCCGCGCACTGCCCTTCTTTCCCGCTCTCCGGCCTTCGAGGCTCTGGCACAGGCCTCTGGAGACCCGCCAGAGCCGCTTCTGTACCTTCTCCTAGATGAATTACGGTGGGTGGGATGTGGTGGCGGCTGGGGACCCCTCTGTATCCTGTGACCCCACCTCGCCCTGCCCGACCTGGACCTGGGATACTCCCACAGTGCTAGATGGATTCCCACAGACTCCACTACCACCCCCAGGTCACCTGTCACCTCCCTGGAGGCAGCAGCCTCGGTCCTTGCTGGCAGCCCTTCTCTTCTCTATCCTGCCCACTCAAAATGCTCTTTCCACCTGGAATGGACCCTGGGCCCCCCAGTCTCTCTCCGTCTCGGCTCCCCCCGAGAAGATGTCACCTGTGCTGACCATCCTGCCTTCCTCCTGCCGCTCTGCCGGGAGGACAGCCACTTCTCCTTGCAGGTCCTCGCTCTCCAACCTTCATCCAGAAGGCCAGCGCAGTGAGGCCCAGGGAGGGAAGTGGACTCACCTGCCCGGCAGATGGCGGTCCTCACCTGCCCACTGCTGCCAGCTACACCTCCACTGCCCAGGTTTGGGGTCGAGCCCTGCCCAGCAGCTTCCCCTTGTCCGACCAGCCGCCACGTCCTGAAACCAAAAGTTCCCGGGATGAATGTCTGGCTCCCCTCCTCTCCAGCCCTAGCTCAGGCCCAACGCCCCTGCCTGCCGATGTTGCCCTGCTTCCCTGGGAGCCCACCCTTCTCCTCGTGGGCTCCCAGGCCTGACGGCCCCTGCTGCCTGAGCTAGCCCCTCAATCCTTCCCCACTCCCGCCAGACTCCAGACAGCCAAGGTGCTCCTTGGCCCCCACGACTCTCCTCCGGCACCCCATCTTCCCCAGTTTCCCCGTCCCCACCCCACCCCCCTCCCTCCCCACCCCCCTCCCTCACCCTGCTCTGCAGCCCCTAGCCCGGGCTTTTTCTAACTGGGGTGGCCCCGCCCAGAATTCCCGCCCCTGCCCTGCCAGCCAATCAGAGCGGGCCGTGCCGGGGCCCCCGCAGGGCCCACCTCCACCCTGGTCCGTTCCAGCGCACGTTCCTCTCACCCCACACCCGTCCTGGAATTCTCCAAAGACAGCCTCCCCACACCCCTCCTTTGGCATCCTTTAGACAGGGCCTGGCATTGTACCCAAACGTCCCCCTCTGGGTCAAGAACCGTTGGCTCCCCTCATGGAACGGCGCTCCCTGAACCCTGCGCTGCCCGTGCTGGGTGAGCACTGTCCGAGGCCAGGGTCCTGGCTGGAGTCCCTGGGAACTCAAACGGAACCCAGCCACCTTCTTCCACCACTGTGGCAAGACCTCTTGTCCACTCGAGGGGTCCTAGGGGCCGAGAGTGGGAAGTCATGAGGGGCTCTGAGCACTTAGAGTAAGTTCAGTCAGGGTCAGGTCAGCTGAGCTATATAGAAGAGCTGTGAGCAAGGCTACCCTGGGCCCTGGCTGACTCCCCACTGAGGTCCATCTGGGTGACAGAACTAGTTCTGGTCACAGTGGCCTCCATGGGACAGCTGGTTAGGGCACCGAAGGCCCCCTTCCCACCCCTTCCCAGTGGTCTGTACACACTATGTGGCCATCCACATTTTGTGGGCACTATCTGGTGAGAAGCCACGTGGCAGCCTCAGCCCTGTCCTGCCCCTCCAGCTGATCTCGGTCACCACGACTCAATGACAGAATGCAGAAAGGAGGGCTTCCACACTCCCTGGCCATTCTGGTCACCCTGCCCCCTTGGCCTCTCTATTGTCCATCAGGTTTGCCCAACAAAGCCAAGGGTGTTGGAGACAAAAGTGGCACAGCTCTGGGGGATGTGGCTGGGACGCTAGGGCCAAGGACTCTGAGCTGACCACACCTGGCCATGCAGCAGGGCTTCAGGTGTATGGAGGGGCTGAAGTACCCTGGGCAGACCCATGGCCGTCACCCTTCCATAGAGCATTGGGTGCTCGCTTCTCACAGCTGCCTGCGGTTGCTGTGGGTAAGTCCACCTTTGTGTGGAAGCCTCCAGACGTGGCTATGGGCATACTCAGGCATACTCCAGCTCATTGGTCACAAGTGGACCCTGCCGCGGTTGCCGTGGCCCTGATTTGTGAGTCTGTACTGCCGCCTCGCGGCCACTCCTACACCCATACCTTCAAAGGATTCTGTAAGGCAGCAAGCCGAGGTTAGCGCCCAACAAAAGGGCTCCAAACACCCTCCTGCACCAGGCATCGTGGCCCCGAGCTCCCCCGCCAGCCAGGCCACCCTGGGAACAGGCTCCCATCATCAAGGCATGGGGTCCCTCTCTGTCCACTATCATCCACTCTTAACTCCTTAACATCGACAGCGTGGCCTGTGGTGAATCAAGTGGGGTGGCCTGGGGTTGACTAGAGTGTCCTCTCCCCTTACGACCCCAGTGAACCTCTGCAGCACCAGGTGGGGTGCCCCCGACATTGCCGCGCGTGAACCCCAGTCTCGGCTGCCTGGTCTTGGGGCTGCATTGTGTGGGACTGCGCTGCCACCTCGCGGCGACTTCGGTTGTCCCAACCAAGGCCGATTCCGCGCCATCCCGGGAGTGAGAGGCACTCTCTGGTTTGGGGGTTCCCGGGCCCAGGGGGACAATTTCAGAAGTGCACAAGGGTCCTGGTCCCCTGATGACCCTCGTGAACTAGGGAGCCACTGGACCTGGGTGACGCGGGCCATTGCCGCGGGCGAACCCAGCCGCGGCCGCCTGTGGTTGTGCTGCATGAGACTGTGCTGCCGCCTCGCGGCAGCTCCTGTCACCTACCACAAACGGTTCTGCACCATCCTGGGAGTGGGACGGGCTCCCTGAGGTTGGCACCCAGGGCTGGAGAGGAAGATTGGAAATGTTTCCATGTGGGCACACAGTCCCGCGGGCCCCCTGTGCCCGTTGGGGTGCTGTGGTAGGGTGCTCCTCGGAGCCTGGGCAGTGTCCTGCAGCCCCCGTCATGCTTGCCCCAGGGACAGCACCGGGTCCCTCTTTTTCCAAGCGTTCACTCTCATATCCTCAACTTCTGTCCCTGGCCTGGGAGATATTGGCTGAACCTCCAGAGCAGAGGTACCATCTTCTAGCCACGCAGACCCAGGGCACACCACGGGTAATTGCCTCCTCGCATTTGCAGACATGGCACATGGGTGCCACGGTACGTGGGCACCACAGTCTCAGAGGTGTGTTCACACTGACCCTGTCCATCCCACCATCTCCTGATTCCCCAGACACTAAGGTGTCAGCTGCACCCACTTTGGTAACTAAGCTCAGGTGACTCAAGGATCCTGTGCTAAGGTGGAAGAGAGCACGGCAGCTCTAACATCCAAATTCCCCAATTAGCATCTCAAAACCCAAATCAAATGGAGATGTTAATGCTGAGCTCAGGGTGCGGCAGCGCTCTGATTATTCCCGGGCAGCAGGGGCTGGTTAGAACTGAGGCTCATCCTTCTATCCATTGGGCCTCACCTAGGTGAGTCTGTGCTCTGTTATTAGCGGCACATGCCACGATCACCTCACCTGGTAGATCTGACTTTAGATCCACGCGTGGCTCTGATGTGTCAAGGAGAGAACGTGGCTGTGGACCTGTGAATATGGCCTGAGCTGGACACCTGAGTGGTTTCCCTGGCATTCTGTCCCCTTAAAACCCTGGTGAACCTCTGCAGCACCAGGTGGGGTGCCCCCGACATTGCCGCGCGTGAACCCCAGTCTCGGCTGCCTGGTCTTGGGGCTGCGATGTGTGGGACTGCGCTGCCACCTCGCGGCGACTTCGGTTGTCCCAACCACGGCTGATTCCGCGCCATCCCGGGAGTGAGAGGCGCTTTCTGGTTTGGGGGTTCCCGGGCCCAGGGGGACAATTTCAGAAGTGCACAAGAGTCCTGGTCCCCTGATGACCCTCGTGAACTAGGGAGCCACTGGACCTGGGTGACGCGGGCCATTGCCGTGGGCGAACCCAGCCGCGGCCGCCTGTGGTTGTGCTGCATGAGACTGTGCTGCCGCCTCGCGGCAGCTCCTGTCACCTACCACAAACGGTTCTGCACCATCCTGGGAGTGGGACGGGCTCCCTGAGGTTGGCACCCAGGGCTGGAGAGGAAGATTGGAAATGTTTCCATGCGGGCACACAGTCCCGCGGGCCCCCTGTGCCCGTTGGGGGTGCTGTGTAGGGTGCTCCTCGGAGCCTGGGCAGTGTCCTGCAGCTCCATCGTGCCTGCCCCAGGGACAGCACTGGGTCCGTCTTTGTGCTTTTTCCTTCTCCTCAGTGATTAGAGGTCTTAGATAGTGGTTCTGTTCCTTGGCTTGGACTCCCAGCCACACGTGGGTTTCCAGATCCAGGACCCGGACGGGAGTTGCCGTTTCACGTGCACGCCGGCCACAGTGCCACGGAGCTTGGTACTCCCGGTGGAGTGGCCCTCCCCTGGGGGTTTTGGACATCTGTTCTATCATTGGTCTCCTCAGAGGACCTGGAGGTTTCTCCCTAAGAGCTGCCCCACCCCCTGTGCTCTAAGGGGACATTTGCATTTCTTTGAGCTGAAACCCAGGCACGGAAGCTCTGCTTACAGCAGCAGCTACACCGTCAGGCCTGTGGTTGGACTGCAGGGTCTTGGAGCTCTGAGCCTGGCTTAGGGACTTCTGGGGAATTCTGGTCTGTGCTAGCCATGGTCACAGTGGGTGGCTGGTGCTGCAGTCCACACGCCGTGGCAGTGCCTCCCCACGCATGGCCCTGTCCAGGCCACGGTGCACAGAGCCGCTTGGGATTCCAGTTAGACTAAGAAGGAAGTGAGACTGAGGTCACCATGGGCTGCCAGGGAAGGAGCACAGCAGGGTTAGGGATCCTGGAGGGTCCATGGGCATCAGGGCTCCCCGGACACAGAGAAGAAAGGAGGAGCTAGGCCTGAAAATTAATGTCACACGTGGTGGCCGTGGAGGGTGGAAAACTTGGCTGCCATCTGCTCCCGCTGGGCTCCTCTAGACATTCAGGTCCACCTCACCGTTAGGTTCCAGTTCTAGTGCAAGATTGAAACAGGACTACCCAGTCCACAGTGTCTGGAGTGACATGCCACGGTCACTCTGGCTCCCGTGGCCCTAGACCCAGCTGCCGCTTCCCAAACCTCCCCTTCCCTCAAGGCTCTCCTGGGGACGTGGCTCCAGGCCTCCTCCCTTGCACCCTGCTCTCCTCACCCTCCAGGGACAGTCGGTGGAGACAACTTCCGTCCTCCCTCAGCTGAGCTGGGCCATCTCCCCAGCTCTCCCTCCAGCGGCCAGCACCAGACCAAGCCCCACATCCCACAACACTCGCCCAGTGTCCCCTCTCCCTAGGTCTGGATGCACCCTGGTTTCCTGGGGCAGCCCAAACATGTCATCCCAACCCCCAGGCGGGACTTAAACAACAGACATTTATTTTCACACAGCTCTGGGGACCACGAGTCCAAAACCAAGGCATGGCAGGGTCACGCTCCCTCAGAAGACTCCTTCCCGCTCCTCCCAGCTCCCAGCTCCGGGGGCTCCAGGCATCCTCAGTGGTGGCCCCATCATTCCAGTCTCTGCCTCTGCTCTCAGGGCTGCCTTTCCTGCGTTTCTGTCTTGCGATGAAGGTCGTTGAGTCTAGGCTCACCCTATTCAGTGTGGAGTAGTAATTGCCACGGGTCATGGCTACATAGACCCCTTGTCCAAATAAAGCTACAGGCACAAGTTCTAGGCAGACATGGACCAGGAGTGGGTGATAGCATCCAACACAGTCCAGCGTGGAAAGAGACACACATGAGCTCCAGCAGGTCCACTCGGATTCCTGCATGTCCTGATGAGGTCCCTCTCCTACTTCTTGCCCCTCTTCTTCCTGACCACCTGTTCTACT